TTAATACATTTAGTCTAAACTGACATGCTTTATAATTATTTGTTCTGACAAAATATATTAAAAGCTGTTAAATGTGGTTAAAATGTTTTATTTAAAGCCCAGCTTATATTTTTTACAGTTTTTTTTGTTTGTTTGTTTGTTTGTTTTAATATTTCYTTGTTAWAGTACACRATATCTCTACACTAAGTTGGGTGCCAGTTTTTGAATAAAACAAAATCATTGTTGCATGTTTTCAGTTTTTATTGTCATTTCATGTTGTACATGAAAAGCTATATGTGTTATTTCATTTTACGCTAAACTCTCTGAAAAATCTCCTATTTGGTCTAAAATACCCGTTTCTACTTGTTGAGCTGCAGAGTTTGTACCTCAGTCTTATCTGTGTGTCTGTTTCCGCTCTTCAACTCGTCGACAAGAAAGCAACAAAAGACATACGCTCCACATCTGTTTCCTGGGGCTCTACAGTACCAGCTAATCTTCCTGCCTGTCTGCACTGTGGATCTATTATTTCTAATGGCAAAACAATCAGGCTTTATGGCCCAGCTCCACATCCACCGGAATGGWAGCAGCACGTAATTTAATACTTTAGGAATTGGCTCTGCAATTTTTGCCTCCAGCTCCCCCATTGTATGCTCAATAGGGATTTAAATGCTGCTATGATAATGGCAATAACTAGGTTCATTGGAGCTAGTGATAAACTATGAATGAAATGGATGACCCAAGGGCAGTGTGCTTCGTCCCCGTGGCTCGTTGATTTACGGCAAAGCAAGAGCTTGTTTCAGAACGATGGAAACCAGTGGTTTGTGCAAATAAAGCACACAAGTCGGTAGTTTCACAAATCTTTATGGTCGTTACGCTTTTGTGTTTGTTTTCCTCCATGTTCAAGTCCAAAATCTTATAGAATGAAGTTACTCGATAGATAAATTAGACTCAAGGTAATAGGAAATAGCCACAACCTGTTGTTTTTCATCAACAAATGATTAAAATGAAAGCCTTTCAAAATCTGCAAGAATGTTTCTTTTTTTTTCCTTTTTGTTTACTTTAACCTTCAGTTGCCCAGCATTCTTTACATGCAACATAATTTCATCACAGAGTATCAATTATAAATGTATATGATATGTTTATTTTATTTTATTTCATTTCATTTCATTTTATGTTTTGTGGAAAACTTAATACTGTAGCCGAATGAACACTTGCAGACAAGCTGTAGGCAGGTTCTGTGTCAAGTATTTTCAGTCTTTTTAAACAAAGGAGAAAAAATGAATATTACGAACAGAAATTACCAAGATGACTTGATAATAAAAGTAAAAAAAGGTAGAGTAGAGTATAAAAGACTGAGATGGGCGATGAGTTAGTGGCAACAGGTGAGCTGATTACAGATTCAGAGCAGGTGGTCTATGAGGACCTAGAATAAGAYCAACTGAGGATACCAGGAGGCTACAGACTGAACTGCAGAATAAATGTAACTCAGCTTACCAACCAAAACTCCCTTGTTGTCTCTTTTGAATTAATTTTTTTTAAGTTGCATCATCCAATCTCAAGTCAGACAGCAGTCGTATCAAAGTGCCAACTATAAGTTCTCTTCAGCCATTTTTACTTTGTCCAGACAGCATAACTTGCTTTGCCCTAATTCAACCTGATTCAGTCATACACAGTAGTTACAATATAACCAGGTTTTGCCTTGGTGTAGGCTGGCTGTCACAGCTGCTGATACTGTTTCCAATATTGCCATAGCTGAGTTGAGACCATCTTGTTCTTTTGCTGGTCGGAGCTTGTAAATCAAGTTCATTTGGTTTAGCTATGTCTGAATTCTGTCATCAACCAAAAATCAAAGAAACAGCTTCACATCTTCATTATGCCACAGTGTTGCCGTTTTAATGGATGTATTACAATTTTTTAAAGCAGTTGGTAGGTTTTGAAAAGGTCAGTTTGATTCRTAAGGATATGCTCATATTGACTTAGCATTCGGGCCAATCAGTGGTCTGCTGACACTGATGTTGAATCTCCAGCTCTACTCAGTTCACTTGAAACCTAAATAGGTTCTAAAGACAYAGCTGAAAGTGSGTGAGATCACCCAATCAAAAGACTCAGAACCAACACCAGGCCAACCRGGGTAGGGCTAATTGTAACAAKRGTAAAATGMCCAAATATGTCAGAAGCCAGTTAGCAGATTCAGTGCAACACATCCAACCAATTGTTACCAATTTGGTCAATTTAACCACTAACTTGGAGTCCCAGGCCACCACAGACAAGCTTAGGTTGATAGTCTGTCATAAATCAGTTCATAAATAAAAAAAAAATCTTTACACAACTTGGGGCTCTAAGTTTGAACTAAAGCAGGTCAAATTTATTGTTCGTTCATCAAAAACTGACCAAATATTGACAGAAATGAGCAACCGAGCAGTGATTCCCCTTCAGCAAAATCATTAGCCTCATTTGCACGGACTTGCATCTTCTGTGTACAATATTTCTCCTGGTTCAGCAAAGGCAAGGTCCTCAGAAGCTGTGCTCTTYGCATTATTACCAATGCATCCTTGATAAACTTTTCTTACAAGATAAAGTTGGACCAGGTTAGTCTGGTCAGGTTAAAGTTAAAGGTCAAAGTAGATTTTACATCACAGCCTTTTAAAAGGGTGTCTGTTTTATGGATGCTTCACAATCTCTGTGTTTTTGTAGCACATGCCTTGGTGAGACCAATTAAGCTGCTATTTCTGTTGTTCTCGCATTTCAAGAAGTTTAAAAGTTTTACTCTAGTCGTTAAAGTGCCTACACTAATGAGGTAGAACCGTGTGGTTATTAGACAGGAGGAGAAGGTTGTTTAATAGCTTCCATTAAAGACTTGCTTAGCTTACTTCATTATCTATGCTAACTCCCTCTCATTCTACACCATTTATTTAAAASTAGCGACAGGACAACAATGCAAAGCAACTCCAGGAACATTGATCTTACCCTACAGCAATCATGACTCTTTGACAGCCACTGCAAAGGCTATTCTTRCTCCACTATCACGCTACAGACCCACTGTGATGTCGAGTTTATCAGCAATACTTCCATTTGTCAGCCTACTTGCAGTAGCATGGATCACACAGCTCTGSTAATTACCATATTTCTCCAAACACGTCTTTGTAAATTTGCATATTTTATGTATTAGTAAACAATAATTAGCATATAGAGACTAGAAAAATAGTTTGAGGTTGGTTGTAAACCAGCTCTAATGGCATGCATGTGTGTGTTTGAGAGAGGCAGAGCTGAAACAGTGTATTTTATTTGTTTGTAAAAAATAATAGAAAAACTATTTCCCACCCCTATCCCATTATTACCAAATATTTGCTGGTTTTAAGCAGTGATTCGGAGGAGAGYAAAAAAACACTGCCAATGAAATAAACAGCACAAGTCAGGGCACAGTGGATTGTGTTCTGCAGCCAGTTAAAACTGCAGCTAATCTTGGCAAAAATTTGACTTTTTCTCATGACTAATAAATCATCAATCCCTGGCAATTTATATATCTAAAARATCAATTCAAAAATTACCTGACTGCTCGCTTTATAAAGTGTTTCATCTTCAGAACATGCAGTTAATCCCCTGATTTGAGCTGTAATAGGTTGTACTGCTTCTTATCAGGCTATTGAACATTGCATACGTGCACTGAATTATTTAGCACAAATGCCCTGTCAGTTTTCTTTCTCTAGGTGCAGATAAAATATCTTAACAGGACAAGCAAAACCAATAAAATGAGACAAAATTAATACAAACATGATTTTTTTTCTTTAGGTAACTTCGAACTTGCATAACAAGACATTCTGAAAATAAAAGAGTGAGGAAAAAATCCATTTAACTTTGGGATCAAATAAATATAACAGCATATTTAAATTGACCTTTTTCTTATTGTGTGAATGCTTATCAAGCACCATTTTTAAACCTATTTTGACTTGTGTCTTATGCCGCAATGCTTGTTCTATTTCAACAATTTATCAGCCAAAACATTTAGCTCCTTCAGGAAATTCTGGCAATGGTGTTTGGTATTTCAGCAATTTATACATTTTGAGATGTATGTAGCTTTTTCTGACTTCTTTTTTGTCTTGTAAAAAAAAATAATGGAATTATTCTGCTTTTCTCAACTTCTTTGTGCAAATTCATTGGCTTCTATTAAGTTGATTTTATCTTTTTTTCAGCATTTTTTAGATACAGTTTTTAAACTTTGTTGTGCTTCTTTTGCTACTTTTAGCTTTTTATGCTTCTTTCAGCTGCTTTCTGCAAATTTCAGCAGTTTTCTGTGTTTTTAGCTAATTTCAGCTAATTTGAGTTGTTTTTAGCTAAAGCCACACTTTTTGTGATATTTCAGCTTCTTACTGCTTAATTCATCATACATGTTCACTTTCTGCTTCTTTATGCTAATTTGAGCTATGTCAGATACATTTTGTTTGCTATTTTAGGACAGTTTTTGCTTTTTTAGCTATTTTAAAACAAATTGTAATTTTTTGTACTTCTTTTTTTTTTGCTAATAAAAAAATCAATCAATCTGTCAATTTTAACTTGTTTCTGCTACTTAGCTACTTTTTGCTAGAGTCAGCTCACATTAACAGTTTTGCTATTAAACTTTTCAGCTCCACTTCAGCAGCTTTCATCAAAAAATCTTTCAGCATTTAGGAATTCACACTGCATTTTTGCATGACATGCAATTTCTTTATTTGCTTTTCATTTTTTTGTTTGTGCTTATTTAATGTAAAGAATGATTTTAGTTTCTTTATTTGCAGTAATTTGTGCTTCTTTTGTGGCTTTTATGTTTCTCTATAGAAATGATAAACAATCCCATATCTATTTATCAATTTTCTTTTTTTTAATCTCATCCCGATCTGTTGTCTTTTTTTATAATAGATTTTCTTTCTCATTTATGTTTTTTTTGCCATTTTGTGTTATAACTGGTTGACCAATTCAGAGCTTTTCTTTATTAAAGTAGCTTTTTTCCCCTRGTTTCTTTCAATTTCTGATTTTCTTATTCACAGCTTTTGTGCTCAGCTGTGCGTTTCCCAAAGAGCCGGCTGGCGGAGAAGTTTCTGTAACACATCTTCATGCTGGCGGAGAAGCCTTCTTCAGATGTTTCACTGGGTACAAGCTGCAAGGTCCTAAAATGCTCACGTGTCGCAATGCAACCACGCCTTACTGGAGCGGGAAAGAGCCCAGATGTGTCGGTAAGGCATGTGTTTTTGATAAATGTGTTTTTTWAACTAAAAAGATAACACATTAAAATGTGAATGTGCTAGAAATTATATGTAACTAGAGGTTATTTAGAAATATTTGTGTGATTTACTTTTTATTAGACATGACCTTCTGAATGGGAACAATTAATTAGCAAACACAATTCAATCTGCTCTTAATTTGACTAAATATTTCATGATAATGTGAGGAATATTTGAAACACTTTAAGCAATTAAAATTATGAGCAAAATAAATCATTTAGGAGCCCAAGGAAATAAGTGGAGCAAATCATTTTCTCACCAGGTTTCTTGGAGAAAACAGGTAATTTTGATTAACGAAAGCTTTCTCGAGCTGGTCTCCTGCCGAGTTGATTTGAGAGGCTGACTGTGCACAGAGAGCTATTCTTTCGAGATGAGGCAAAACAAAGCCATTGGACGTGGCTGTCTTTATTATAACACGTCTGTCTGTCTCCTGCTGTTGAAGGCTCATCTGACTGTTCCGGCCTTTCACTCTGCCTGCCTGCAGCTGCTCTCAAATGATAGTGTTACTGCTGCCATTTTGGCATGCTTTTCTCTAAGTATCAGACACTCTGAGACCTCGGAGAGCCGCCTAGTGTTGTCAGGCTACAGTCCACTGGAGATCGATACAATCTGTGCACAGACAGGAACTTTCCTCTAAAACCCCGCTTCCACAATTTCATTATGTTTTTCTTTTTTTCCTACCCTCATCTAGTTTTCCCTTCTAACTCTTTATCCTCTTTCTTTTCCTTCGCTGTTTCTTCTCACTTAGCGTCCTGTGGAGGGATGATAAAAAATGCCACAACCGGTCGTATTGTCTCTCCTGGTTTCCCCGGCAATTACAGCAACAATCTGACGTGCCACTGGGTGCTGGAAGCCCCCGAAGGCCACCGACTTCACATTCACTTTGAGAAGGTTGCTTTGGCGGAAGATGATGACAGGTAGTCAAGGCATGACATAAAGGTTCACCCATCAGCCACAACATTACGACCACCTGTTATTGTTGAATTGTTACTTTTGTGACTAAAACAGCTTTGACTTTTAAAGGCATGTATGTGTACAACGATGTGTGCTGTGGTTTCTGACACCTGGTGGTAAATAGAAAATACTTTAAAGATAATTCAGATTTTTAAAAAAATAGGTTACTATGGAAAGTTATGAACATATCACTTGTTTTGATATAACTGCTGTATTTGAATTACCTCAGTTTAAACAAATAAAGTTAATTTTGACCTAATTAAATGAGCAGGGTCAAGACCAACACAAATTTAGTAGACATTAGCATTTTCCTGGAAGGTGCTACCATTGTAGGAATATTGTTACAACAAAGATATGCATTACATAAAATATATATTTTTAAAGGAGACATGTCATTCTTTTAAATCCTTCCTTCTCACATTTAAATAAATCAGTTGGGGTCTGTATAAAGTGGAACTGCAAAGCTTTGGTCTGAATTCCTTATTATTATAGCTCCGCAGGCCCCCTTTTCACCCCTGTTTTGAGGCATGTTTGAGAGCAACAAATTTTGGTGCTGTCTCTTTAAATACAAACAAGGCACTTCACACCCRGCCTCCCTCCCAATAATCACTGTCCACTCCACCCTGTTCCACAACAAACACTATGAAGATATTGTTAAAACAAAAATGAATTGGGAAAAGAGAAAGATATGACCCAAACAGACTATAAAGACATCTACGTAGCACTGGGACAATTTAACTAAATTGGACTTTTCTGCATTCCTACAAACTTCGATGCACAACAAAATGTATTCAAGAGCTAAAAAAAAGGAATTTTGCATGATTAAGTGAATGATAGATAATACATATTTACATGAATAGCAACACCGATATTTCCAGGACTTCATCAAAAGTGTCTCACTGTATGTCAAGAGTCTGAGTTATCAGACCAGACCTTCTTCTACTTCTCTGTGATCCATAGGTCAGACATCCTATCCACTTCAGCTGACACAGAGCATACCCAATACAAACTATGATACACTGTGATTCCTGACAACTCAGTATCTAAACTGGTGTTAACGTTTTTTCAGCTATTTGAGCCCTTCCATTCGATCAGACAACACTAGCCAGCTTTTGTTCTCCAAGTGTGTCAATGGGCCTTGGCCACTCATGACCCTGTTACCCATTAATCAGTTTTCCTTTTTGAAACCCTCTTGGAAGGGTCCTAACCCCTGCAGACTGAGGGAACATCCCACAYTAAGCAGCAGTTGTGGAGACACTATGACCCAGACTTATAGCGTCATAATTTGGCTTTTGTCAAAGTCACTTAATTCCACCAGCCTGCCCCCCTTTTGTCTGCTTCTAACACATCAACTTCAAGGACAGAAAGTTCACTTCCTGTCAACTGCAAGGTGTTATTGTGATCCTTTAAACTCAGAGCCCAATGTTTTTTTTTTTTTCACTTTTCCTGCGAGTGTTTATGGTTGATTTGTACACTGAGAGCAAAACTGATCTTACAGTTAGTGAGTGTTGGAATGTGTGAATCTTCAACTAATCTCTAATTGTTTCATGCGTTAAACTCACTGTCTGAATACCATTATTCATGTGATTACCCCTCAAGTGTAAATTGATAACCAAAATCTTTTGAATGTAAATGCATAAATAAATAAATAAATAAATAAATAAATAAATAAATAAATAAATAAATAAATAAATAAATAAATAAATAAATAAATAAATAAATAAATAAATAAAAGTCATAGCAAAATACAGTGTTAGGAGTATTCTGTAAATCACATGAATTGAGCAACAAGCAACTAGAGATTCCATTGAATTTGCTGACACACCTGGTTATTGTCATGCATAGCTATCCATGTCAGGGGAGTGGTTTCAAACTATAACAATTTTTTTTACAGCTTCAGCTGGAAGGAAGAATGGAAGAATTGTTTTCAGGCAGCTTGTTAACTTTTTTATTCCTCCCTTATTGTTCATTCTCATTTATGTTACTTCTCTTCTTTTTTTTAGATTGTTGATAAAAAATGGCAACAACATAGACTCTCCTCCTGTGTATGACTCCTACGAGGTTGAATACCTYCCAAACGAAGGTGTGCTCAGTACCGGGCGATATCTGTTCGTAGAGTTCACCACGGACGGGACGATGACCTCCACTGGTGCAGCCATCAGATACGAAGGCAGGCAGAGAATGTGGATTGTAAAATTGTCTGATAGTACCTTGTCAACTTCTTTGAATTAACGTTTTTGTTTGTTCACTTTGGTCTACAGCCTTTGCAAAAGGAGTGTGCTATGAACCCTTTGTGAAATACGGCAACTTCAGCAGCAGTGACTCCACCTATAGTATGGGTGCAGTGGTTGAATTCTCGTGTGACCCGGGCTACACACTGGAGCAAGGCTCTGTAGTGATTGAATGCGTAGATTCACAAAATCCACAGTGGAATGAGACAGAGCCAGCCTGTAGAGGTAAGTCAACACATCTCATCTGCTTAAGTAAACTTATGGGGCATTAAGTCTTGAAAAAAACAAGCTTCCAGTAAAGAATTCATTCAAATCTGACTGACCTAAGAACCCAAGGCTTTCATTGTGTCTGCTTGATCACTTCAGGAGGTAGCAAAGTCTTTTGTTCACATATTAAATACCACCAGCAGTTAACCGTATCTTCATAAGCAGCTTTCCTCTGATCCGTGATAAATTTTCCCCTAAAATTATAGCAATGATTTACTTTGATATATGTGCTTACAGGGCAGATTTTAGAAGCGCTTAAGATGAAAGGCGCACAATAGCTGCCCTCAGTCGAGCACGGCACAGTGCACAGGCTATGCACAATATTTAATAACAGCCTGCTAAAGCTTTTCTTCTCTATCGCACTCCTGCCACATACACATGCACCCAAACGCAACATGCTGACCTCACTCTGATTCTTTAATGCCTGCGTGGTCGTTCCATCACAGGGTGGAATTGAAAAGCTTGCTTGTACTGCTAGATATGGGAAAATTAAATGTTTGCTCTCTGGGGTCATGGTCACCAAGTGGCTCATTGTTAGTTTAGCAAAAAAATATCCTACCAAGAAGCGGGCACATTCCAGTGTATCAGGTCTTTKAACCCTTAGCTTCACTCACAGTCCAGTGTGTTTTGGACATGTATGAGTCACAGGGACTGATAGTTCACAGCCAGATCACAGGGTCCTGGCAATCACTAAAGGAAAATCTAAACATTAGTACAATGTACTTGATAAATATAAGTATAATTTAGGTGTAAAACTTGCCAAAGAGCTTCTACTGTTCAATCTATGGGTGTTTCCACAGGTACCTTTGCCACCTCCCATTCTGGCATCAGTATTCTTGTATTAGCAAAGTCAGCACCACTTTAAGCTTCTGTCATCTATAAAACTGTCCATCGTATTTAATCATTTGCAAAATGACAACAGACATCTTCATCTGCTACATGCTACAGATCAGTTCTTTCCCAATAGTTGTACAAAGTTACTAAAGCTGGGTCTTGCCTCCTAGTTTGTGCAAAGACAAAATGTTGGATAAACTTCTGACTTGTGAGCTACACAATTAGCAAATGTGTAGTACTTACAAGGCACAAGAAACGTACAATAAATGTGCATCGACCYTGCATCCTACTCTAATCACAAAGCTCCTAAAAGCCATGAACTTGACTTCACAAAAAGAACAGGTTACACACACTCACCGGCCACTTTATTTGGCACACCTGTCTAGCTACTCCTTAACACAAATCAGCCAATCACATGGCATCAACTCAATGCATGTAGGCATGTAGACATGGCCAAGAAGATCTGCTGCAGTTCAATCCAAGCATCAGAATGGGGAAGAAAGGTGATTTGAGTGCCTTTGAACGTGGCATGGTTGTTGGTGCCAGAAGGGCTGGTCTGAGTATTTCAAACTGCTGATCGACTGGGATTTTCACCCACAATCATCTCTAGGGATTACAGAGAATGATCCGAAAAAGAGAAAATATTCAGTGAGCGACAGTTCTGTGGGCACAAACGTCTTGTTGAAGCCATAGGTCAGAGGAGAATGGCCAGACTGGTTTGAGCTGATAGAACGGCAACAATAACTCAAATAACCACTTGTTACAACCGAGGTCTGCAGAAGAGCATCTCTGAACACACAACACATTGAACCTTGAGGCAGATGGGCTACAGCAGCAGATGACCAAACCGGGTGCCACATCTGTCAGCTAAGAACAGGAAACTGAGGCTACAATCCATACAGGCTCATTAAAACCAAACAATAGAAGATTGGAAAAACATTGCCTGGTCTGAGGAGTCTTTATTTCTGCTGCAACATTTGGATGGRAGGGTCAGAATTTGGCATCAACAACATGAAAGCATGGATTCATCCTGCCTTGTATCAATGGTTCAGGCTGGTTGTGGTGGTGGTGCAATGGTGTGAGGGATATTTTCCTGGCACACTTTGGGCTCATTAGTACCAACTGAGCATTGAGTCAACACCACAGCCTACCTGAGCATTGTTGCTGACCTTGGCAATCCTTTTATGACCACAGTGTATCATCTACTGATGACTACTTCCAGCAGGATAATGCACCATGTCATAAAGATTGAATCATCAGACTAGTTTCTTGAACACAACAATGAGTTCTTAGTACTCGAATGACCTCCAAAGTCATCAGATTTCAATCCAATAGAGCACCTTTGGGATGTGGTGGAACAGAAGATTTGCATCATGGATGTGCAGCCGACAAATCTGCAGCAACTGTGTGATGCTGTCATGTCAATATGGACCAGACTCTATAAGGAATTTTTCCAGTACCTTCTTGAATCTATGCCACGAAGAATTAAAAGTGTGTAGGATTTGTTGTTTTCAGCAACATCTAGTGGTTGAGTGGTTGAATCATCCTCCCTGGTCCTCCCTGGTCCTCCCCCCACCCCCATCCCCCACTTCCAAATGCAAATGAGTTTCTACAGTGTGTCTCAGGTGTCAAAAACCTTTGAAAATTCCAACCGRGATGTCTACCAGCAGCTTCAGGGCTAGTGATGTTTCAAGTGGTAAGATTATGAGCTTTAATAAGTAAAATTATCCCAGCTACAATGACAGACAACAAATATTACATTTATAGTATTACAACTAAAAGTGTTTTTGACGCCGCCACAGCAGTTTGTCCTTCTTGAGCCTTTGTAGACAAGATGGTGGTGCAAGATGGCGGCTGCCTGTAGTGGCGACCCGCGACCATGGAGATATAAACAGCTTTTTATAAGGTAAAAATAATAAAACAAGGTCTTTGTCTGCAATGATTAGACATGTTTTTATTATTGTCATTAGTCATTATCTCAATTTCGGCTATAAGAATTGACAAAATCCTACACACTGTGCCTTTAAGGCAGTTCTGAAGGCAAAAGAAGGTCCAACCCAGTACTAACTAGCAAGGTGTACTTAACAAAGTGGCTGCTGAGTGTATGTCATATACAGTAAGTGTTTATTCTATGCAAGACCCAACAAATTTTGCTGGATGATAAATTGTTACAATAAACGATAATATTGTTTGGAGACTATTACAAAGCTTACAGAAGTTTATGAAATTTATGTACGTAAAAAAAAGTTATGAACTGACCCGGACCGGATATTGTGCAGACTTAACACAACAGCTGCTGAAGCTATAAAATCACTTCCCACCTCCTCTACCCAAGCCGGCACAAGTTATACTGTATGTGTCTTCCTCTAGCTTCAGAAAATAATTACGGTCACCCGCACGCTGCTTACAAAGTTTGCACAAGTTTACAAATTTTACACAGTGTAAAAAGAAAATCATTTCTCCGCAAACCCAAGGTTTGCCACAGTGCCCCAAGGGCTTCCTGAGGCGTCGCTAGCTGAAAGAAGGTGTCATAAAACCAAAGATGCTCCTCCAGCTAAATGTTCAGAGGGTTATCAGGCTACAGAGGTTACAAGATCATGCAATTGGCAAATTACATGACGCCAGAGTTCACGCCTCCCTGTGCTAAGGAGTAGAAAAGTGGGAGACAAACAAGCAGGTAAATGAAAATCATCAAACTTATTTTAATTTATCATGTGATTAATTTATTTATTGCTTATTACATCAGGCTTCTTTGCATGTGCAGAACCAAAAGTCTACATGGCCAGTCTGTGGCTTTCTATGAATCTAAATACACAGAAGTGACAACCAAGTCTCAAACAAGCTCTAACCGGAGCACTTAGGGCAGTTAGTGAACAAATTAAAATGTATTCACTTGAGTTAAAAAGGAGTTCCTGTACTAATATATCATGCTGCACAGCTGTGTGAACGTTGTTGTTTTTTTTTTTTTTCCTGTACCTCAAAATGTCTTACCGTTTGTTTTCTGTGGTTGTTCCAGCTGTGTGCAGCGGAGAGATCACCGACTCTGCCGGTGTGGTGCTGTCTCCTAATTGGCCCGAGGCCTATGACAAGGGGCAGGACTGCATCTGGGGCATCCATGTGGAAGAGGACAAAAGGATCATGCTTGACATCCAAGTGTAAGAGTCTATAACTGGGTCCAAGACGAGAAATTACATGGGGAAGTTGTGGAGTCAGGCAGGAGGTCAGATTGTGTCGACATTGTTTATCGCTCCCCAAACATAAATCCACTCAGTTCTTACTTTATCCATGTTTCTTTCACTACAGACATGCATCCACAAAGAAAAGTGTTTTTAACAGCAGTCATTAATTAGTTCTTTTTTTCCATTAGACTTATTTATTTATTTTTACATCCGCCTACATTAAAAATTCTGTCCTGCTTCCAGCTTGCTCTCTGACCAGATTAGCCAGTAAGCCTCCCTGCTCTCACTTCCCTGGTGTCTGCCTCCGAGTTGGCTTTGAAATGAATATGCTCTGGCAGTGAACTACTCTGAGCCACTTATCCAGTCTACCCAACTGTAATTCAGCCCACATGTACAGATGTCAAAAACAGACATGTGAACACAGGTTCACCTTCACTCATCACTTTCTCACAAATGTGTCAGATTTTACACACACACACACACACACACACAAAGACACCTGCATTATTTTGTCAGTTACTGGTCTTCTTTCCAAAAAATATATTTTTTTATCTGACTCCAGTTTGAGCCTTAAAATCAAGATCCTGTCTTATGGGTAGTTAGCATTGGCAAAAACATTAACCAGACTTTGTAAAAACTCTTGAGAATAATTTTTAGGCTTCTAATCATTTGGAGTTATATCTGTTTAAAATAGCTACTAGAACTAAGTGACATTATCATCATGTTAAAAGTAGCAGTACTTCAACATATTTCGTAAAAGTAAAAATTAGCCATCTAAAACATTGCTCAAGTAAGAGTAAAAATGATACTTGGGTATTGATATTATAACATCTGATTAAATATTTTAAAATCATATCATAAGACTGAAAAAAACTAGAAAGTCGTGTAAACTGCGGTGCTATATTAAAATGAAGAGAATTCATCAAAATAAATAACATAAGTGCAAAATAACAAATTCCAACAAAGGAAGCAATCATTATGAAACTAGAACTAGGTAAAATTCTTCCAGTGACTATRTACTGTTTACCATACCTTCACTTGACCTCCAAATGTCTCAGCAGACAGAACATAGCATTTGAACAACAAAACTTGTGCACCAGCAAAAAGTCTCACTTCAACATGAACTGTAGGTGTGTCTCTGCTGCATTTCTGGTTAAAACATGTTTGGTCTTCATTCAATTTCTTTCAGTGTGTATTCAGAAATTTTACTCAAGTAAGAGTGACATTACTTCATAATAAWATTGRTCAAGTAAAGTAAAAAAGTATGGTAAGGTAAACTTACTCCTAACTTTTAATTCCAAAAGGTTACTCAAGTAAATGTGACAGAGTAAATAGTTACTATCCACCCAAAAATGACTAAAACTCAGAATACTGTACCAATTTTGAGCTAAAATTTAGTGTAATAGTAGTTCAGTCATCCCAACATTTATTCTAAGAGCTAACTGATTGTGCAGGCTTTTTTTAAATAAATGTTGCTTTTGAGTCTCATATGGATTTATCACTTTATCTCAAATGAGTGATTCCAGCAGTATCACCAAGCACATCCATTCTACACTGCAAAAACTGTKCATTTTACCAAGTTTTAAAATCTTATATCCAGCCAAAAAGTATTTTTGATCTTGGTTTGACACTGATTTACTAAACAAGAACTGATTGTGTAAGAATAATAATCTTGTTTTCAGAATGTGTAAGATTATTTGTCTTGTTAGTCTGAAAATTTGACTCAAATTAAAGTCACAAATTTCTGCCAATGGAGTAAGAAAATTTTACTTGGTAAGACTCTAAATAAGAAAAAAATGAGTCAAATCAAGTATTTCAAGAATCTTATCAAGTAAAATTTTCTTACTCCATTGGCAGAAATTTGTGACTTTGAGTCAAATTTTCAGACTAACAAAACAGACAATCTTACACAATCTGAAAACAAGATTATTATTCTTACACAATCAGTTATTGTTTAGTAAATCAGTCTCAAGACAAGATCAAAAAGACTTTTTGGCTGGATATAAGATTTTAAAACTTGGTAAGATGGACAGTTTTTGCAGTGTATAGTTGCCACAAAACCATACAGTTTAGGTGATTTGTGTTATTGCCTTGGGCACTTGCAGAGAGAGGGTAAAATTAAACTAGTGGGAATACTGCCTGAGGTTTTGCCAAAAAGAGCCGGTAAAAAAAAAGACTCAAATGGCTGTTAAAGAAACTGGTTACAGTGGTCAMTTATGCACATGCAGGCGTTTGCTTCCTCCGTCTTAGATATTCTCCACTTCCGTGAATCTGTCCGGACAGCATGTTTAATTATGACATGAGGTTTGGAATCAGTGCAGACAGATTTCAACCCTCCYAAGTAATAGATCATCTATCAAACAAATCAAATCATCATAACCATCATTACTGCAAATCTCTCGAGGACACGAGCATGCAGAGCTAGATATATGATTGACGAATCACCCCTTATTAGAAATATGTCATTGGTTCAAAGATTTATAAGTCAAATCCACTTCAGAACGCAAATTAATATATGATCACATGAAAGCTGATAAGCATTTAGCTTGAATTAGTCTCAGTTTGGCATACAGTTTGTTCCAAATCAGTTTTCCACACTTCAGGACTGACTAAGAGCTGTGTAAACACTTTATAATGGCCCAGCTAATAAAAGCACCTATTACTGTCAGAGTTATTGTTCTGTTTTTGTGAGAGTTTAGTTTTAATGAAGAAGTACCACAGTGTAAATCACAGTTCAGTCCAGATTTAGTCACATTTATGGTGAAATTGTTGAGTCACTGATGTTATGATTCAGCGCTGGCAGTTTAGTTTAATAACTCATTGATTTATTCCTGGATGCACTGAATGATCATCAACAATCGCTGAAAAGCTGTGACACTCCAATCTGTGCTGCAGTTTGTTTGGCTTCACACTTCTCTGACAAAAATATAGCCATCAGCTGCTTTTTATCAACTTTGGTGGGTGTATTTTTTATAGAAAACCTTTGATTGAAGCCTCTTACAATTAGAGGCCTTGCTTTCCTTGAAGGGATGAATATTGCAAGTTTTCATGTCAGAGACTTAGAAAAAGTCCCTCTTTATTTTGAGGWATGACAAGGTTAATGGCTTTTTTGGTCAAGTCTTGCAGCATAAATGACTGTCAGCTGCTGTCACATTGAAATTAAGCTCAATATCTGTAAAACTGGCTGAGCTAAAGTTATTTTTGTGTTGAATCACGATGTGTCCAAAAGGTAATCACTTGTGGATGGACATCCAGTGATTAATTTCTGAGTATTTTTATTAAAATCAATCCACTGGTTAAARAGATATTTTGCTAACAGGACAAAGTTGACTCTAATTTTCGTCAAAAAAATATTTCACATTTAGTGCTTAATGTATGAGTCAAGGATGACTCAGCTTTAGAGTTACAACATCCATCCATCCATCCAT